ATACACGTGGGTAACATGATACACGATAAGCAAAATATTAATTTTATAATTTTATAACTCTAAAAAAATACTATAATAATTATATATTTTAATTTAACAATTTTATACCCCTAAAAACTATAATAATTATATATTTATATATATTAAATTAAATTTAAAAAATTTGTGACCATTGGATCAGCTTAGATTTAATCTCAGCTGTCCATTGTGCATTAGGTTGGAGGCTAATATATTTTTATATGGTATAGTACTGTTGTTTTATTTCTTTTTATAATTATTTTGGTAAACTTCTCATAATTTGAATGGTTTCTAATGTTTGGTTTTTTCATACTTAGTTTATGCGGAAGAGAGTTATGACGTGGAAAACCTTACTGAAAACATCATCAACAAACTCTTGAAGGCAATAGATCAAGCCAAAATTCCAATACAATTTCCTCATGATGATCGATGAAAATTGAGGATTTTGTAAAAGGAATAACATGCAAGCTTTGAGTTCAATTGGCAAGGTTTAAACTTTTGAGAAAAGTTTCACAACCTTGAAAACAAAGTCTTTCATTTTGCATATCCTTGTACATATAATATTTTGTAATAGACTAGTAGTGTATGGATGTTTTTTTCATTAGGCTCTTATTTTCGAGCGTAGATGTAGTACTTAAACGACAAACGTGTTTTAATGTTTTGAAGTAATATTTATGTGGCAATGTGTGATATGTGCAAATTTAAGAAAAAATATATATTTTTCTTAATGTGTCATAACAGTTGGGTAAAGTGACCTGACCTGTTAAGGACCCGTTAGGATAACGGGTGTCACACGACACGACCCGTTAAAATAACAGGTGTTACATGAAAACGACACAAACATGATAGACATGACTCATTTGCCAGGCTTACCTGTGGCCACAGTCTTTGTTTGTAATTATTGCCACTACAGGATGTGGTGTTCACTTCAAGGGAAGCAACATTCACTTCCAGGAGTGGCGCCGATCTAGTAGGTCGAGATTGATGATTTTTCATCAGAAGCTCATTATTTTGTTTAGCCATAAGGGTCACCAATATCAGCTGGTTGTACTCTGTAAAGCCTTGTTCTCTATACTGCTGCTGCAAGAGCACGTTGAAGGTATGAAAAGTGCTGAAAGTCTTTTCCAGCATATCTTTCTCAGTGATGGTCTCCCCATAAAGCTTCATCTGGGAGCTAATTCTAAACATTGCAGAGTTGTACTCACCAATTGACTTGAAATCATGGATCCTCAGGTGTGTCCACTCATAACGAGCCCTTGGAAGAATCATCGTTTTCTGGTGATTGTATCTATTTCTCAATGCCTTCTAGAGGGCTAATGGATCTTCAACCGTTACGTATTCGCTCTTTAGTACTTTATCAAGGTGGCGACGGATAAAGGTCATGGCCTATGTCCAATCTTGAGAGGATGCACTGTTTTTCTCCTTGATGTTTTCTTCAAGATTTCCTGCCTCCAGATAGATCTTGGTATCCACTACCCAGGTAAGGTAGTTCTTCCTAGTAATATCCAGGGCAACAAAATCAAGCTTTGCTAAGTTTGTCATTTTTCTTTTTTAAAAGAAAAATGAGATGTATAAGAACTTGCAATAATATGTATTCTGGAGGAATATAGTATTAGAACTTCTGGCTGTTACAAAATTTTCATTTTGATCTGCAGGCCATAATGATAAACACTCGAAACTTCAGACTTGAAATTTACATGATTAATGAGGAGGGCGATTGTACCGCACCACTCTCATTGAAACAATATAGCATCTGATGAGCTAGTATACTACACCACTTAAGTAGCAAAGAAATTTAAATATGTAGAGTAGCGTGCGCGATTATACCGCACCACCTAAAATTGCAGTAAAATTAAATTTGCAGTTCAAGATGAGAGATTGTATCGCACCATCTTTGATCGCAGTAAAATTAACATAAATAAACACTGGGTTAGTAATCACGAGCTACACCAGACAAGAAATTAAAAATATAAGTAATTGTTATATTGAGAACTAGGAGCAGACATGGTGCCAGCAGATCTTGGCGAGGGTACATCAAGCAGGAAAGGCAGATGAGGAAGAAGAACATTAAAATCCTTGGAGGAGGCTTTTTTCGGCGAAGGGAGATGAGAACTAGTTAAGGTTAAAGAGTCGTGCTGATAACGTGTTATAAATAGGCAAAAGTTAGAGAGAGATAACCCTTTCTAGGGACAAGAGCGAAGCAGATGCAAAATATCACACTATTTAGTTTTGTAACTATAACACAAAAGGATTGCAGGTAAAGAGAGAAAGGGAGGGATACTGATATTATTGCTTTCACTTCTTTTCTTGCTGTGCATTATGATCACACACAGAGTGCTCTTTATATAGAGCCACATTCGTGAAGGTTTACAAAAATGAAATGATTGTCTTTTGAAAAACCTCATATATCAACAACAGCACAATTATTCTCAAGTCTTCCTCACTATTAGCTAAAGCATGTGGGCATGCATTTCCACAATTTTTACAACAAAATTGGTATAATTTTATATATTAAAATTCTTCTTTAAAAAAATTGAATGCTCGTGGCCTATTTCAAAAAAATATCTCGAAAAAGGCAATGGATGTTAATTCTAAAGTTCATTGTCTACAGATTTGCGCTTAACCAAAGACCTTTTTTTTTTTTTTTTTTTTTTAATTTATTTAGATGATTTTAGTGTAAGATATTACTTATATCATAAAAAGAATAATAGAATAACCCTTTGATATTCAATATTTTTTAATTAATTGTAAGACAATAAAACTTAGAAATTTAACTTACAAAGCCAAACATATAATTCATGATCAAATTAAAAAAATTAAGTAACTTTTTTTCTTAGAAACCAATCAGGCATGACATTTAAAAATGAAAAACGAATTAACAAGGCAAGATGATGCCTAGTAAACAGTTTTAGAGTGAAAGGTATATAGTTGAGAATACTTTACAATCAGAAATCAGTAATATCGAGCCTTGTAAAGTAAAATTATAATTGCATATGATATTGAAGTGATTAATTGTATATATGAGCGAATTGAATATATTGGAAGATAAAACAATCAATTTCTGTTAAAGAAGTTTTAAGTTTAAAAAATATGAATATAAATCATATAATTGTACATTTACGTAGCTAATGATCCCAGGATTTGTTTGCTTAAGTATTTGGAGAGCCTTTTTTTTGTAATGTCAGGAAACATTTCTGCTACCAGAATTCCTGTAAACTGAGCATGCAAAGACGACAACAATTGCGTATCTAGTCAGGAGCGAATCTAGAAAGTTAGCTCACTGGAGACATAACTAATTAAGCAGTGACGTATGCATGACTCTCTTCGTTGCGTCCCAAAAAATAATTTCCAATGTTTTTGATGAGGCATTTTGTCGAGCATTTGGTTGACTCATACCATTGTGTGCTTACTGTATATCCCGCTCTTTTAGTGCTCTTGTGTCTTTAGGTCAATATTATTATAGGTCAAACAAATAGTGATCATATAGGGTATAGGGCGGAGCTCAAATTTATAAGAGGATTGGAAAAGGGAGGATTGATGACCCTTTTATTATTTTAAGAAAGAACGACTAACTTTAAACTTAATTGAAAAAACGGTGTTATTTCACTAAAAACATATACATTTTTCTATTGGTGGTCTTCAATGAGGATCGAGTGATAGAGTTGCGCTAGAAAAATGTCAATGTTGCTTAGCTTTTGTCGAACTCGTTTGTTTCACCAAAAAAAAAACAAAAAAAAAATTGAAAAAACGATATTTTGAAGGTAGTTATTTTGACAAATTACTTAAAATTATATATATATATATATATATATATACATTTTATTTTTTTTCTTTAATCCAAAATACTTAGGGGGGCACGTAGCCCTTCATCAAATTCGCCCTTGTATCTAGTGGCGAGGGAGGCTGGAATATGAATTAATATTAAGTTAGATCAAGGGTTAAACAAGAACAAACAGCAATTGCATTTGAACATGTTATTTGTTAATCAGGTAATACGCTTGAAGCCACATATACGATATATTCATGCAATAACAAATTGAAATCTGGTTGAAAGTTATATTTCCTTACCTAGCAAATAGCAGCGGTACCAGCAAGTTTGATTTAACTAAGCAAGTGATTGCAGACATTCATTTTCCACGATTTGGAAAATGAAACATAAAATTAAGCATCACTTTGGTTAGAGAATTTGGCAAATTAAAGTACAATTTTTAAACTGTTTTTAACCTTCTTCGTAGGGTTACCTATCTTCTTCAATCATATGGAGAGCGTGAGAAGTACATAGACAAAGAAATAACCGTTACCTAACCTACATATGATAATATAAGATGATGATGATCCGATAGACAAAATGCTACTTACCTATAAGAGTTTGGTTTATGTCGAACATTCAAAGGACATGCAGAATATAAGGGAAAGTTGGTTCCCGGCACAAATTTTCAGTTTCCACGATAATATTAAGAAACGAAAAAATAATCGAGGGAGAGATAAGTAACAGTACGTAGTAGTTTATTCAAGTTTCATGATTCAACACAAATTGTAATAAGACAAGATATATAAGTTGTTTGCAAAAAAGTTTTAACCATCGACGTGAGAGTAACTCAATTAATGTACATGGAAACAAATAATTTTTTGTTTCCATGACCATGAATTAAACAAAAACACACATAAATTAGTAATCAATATAAATTAAATTACTAGAAGTTTTTTTAAGTATGAAATTCAGAGCCATAATTGGAAGACACAGAGAGACCAAATCATGAACTAAATTTCCATCAGTTGGTAAGTAAAAAGCAGTTAATACAGAAACTAAGGAAAAGAAAATAAAAAGGAGTACCAATTCGATTTTAGTAAGAATAGTGGTCGGAAATATGCATGGTAACGAAACCCCAAACGGAGTCATGTTCATGTTTCCAAATCCGGCCAAAGTATGATAGATAAACAATTCTACATATAATCCATATCAGAATTCAAACACCCAAAGAAAACATAAAATCATATTCTCATATATATGTAGACAAACTTAGCAAACTCAAATATACATAGACTAACCTAGCTAATAAATTCCATCGTAAGGGGAAATCATTCAAACGTACATTTTTTGTAGTTGTATACCCAGTACTTCATCTTCGTCTTCGTGTTTCCGGCCCCCAAATATAAAGCAGATAAATTGAAACCCTTGCAAATCTCACACTTATGAGGACTGATAAATCCCTCTTATTATACAAGTTATTTTTTTCTTAATTTCTCCCAACTCACAATCAAATATATATATTAGGTAGAAGTGGGAGAAATTAAAGAGAACCACATCACTTATCTCCAAACAAGTACCCGAGTGATGAATCTCCACCAGGAGCTGATTTAACTTTTGTTGTCGGACGATCCTGAATATATATCATTTGGTAGAAAAATACATTATAAATTTATAATAAGTAAGCTATAGCTGCAAAGAGTTGAATTCCCAAAATAAGTTATAAAACATGAGAGCTTACAGTTAAGAAGTTCCCAGAATTTTGGCCATCAGCTCTGTGATAGTTATTGGAAATTTTATGTTTTTCTGAAGAGTTAGTAGGCGTATCTGGAGGCTTAAATTCAGTGCTAGAATCGAATCTGTCGATACCATATGGTGGTATTACCGGCTTAGCGGTTGGAGGTGGACTTTGTTGCTGATCATCTGAGCCGAACAAATATCCCAATGAGCTTTGTCCCCCACCATAGCTCCCACCTCTACTCATGGCGGCAGCTTAGTTTGACAATTTCAAGATCTGCTTGTCTAAAGTTAGAGGTATATAGGAGAAAGAAAGAGAACCCTAGCTAATATATATAAACAAATTATGTGTGAAATCTTTGTGCATATTTTTGGATGTTGACGATGATGATGCATCATACCTAGTTTGTCATTTGTTTTTTTTAGTGATTTATATAAATCAACTTTAATCGTATGGTGCATAATAATTTAGGTTTGAAAGGGACGGCATCCGATGGATTGAGTAATTGCCCTTGTTGCATGGTGATGGTATATGTATGGGATTGTCTAATAGTTTCCATGTAATACCTTTCATGATCCATCCATAGTTAATTGCTCTTTTATTGAAACGCTCAACCATGAATAAACAGTTGTTCAAGCATTCATTCAATAGGTAGTGACCTAAGAACTTATACGTTTATGTAATGTTTCTCAACTCTTTGACGTGGGACTTTGAACTTTATATTCTCATATACAACAAAAGTGGATGTTGGACTTCACATGTGGATAGACTTGATATCATGAATTGACACGATGAATGAAGTTGATTCAACCCTAAAATTATTTGACATTAGAGAGAGTGATCCATTCCCTTATATGACCATCCAAAAATTTTAACCCTCCGTGAGGGACTTTGAAATTCAGATCCTCACAGCTATTAGCATTTGTTTAGTTAAGGGTTTGGGGAAAAAAATGTTTGAGTTGAAGGGAAAATAGTGATGAACTATTTCCTTTTTTAAATTTTTTATGAATGATGAACTATTTACTTGTAATTGTAGGACTATCCTCAAATTGTTACCTTAATTATGAACGCTTTGGGAAAGTAATTGTTTTTCTTACACGTCAAATGTGTATGCATAAATTTGATATTATATTGCATGAGTATTTCTCAATTTTTGTGTAATTAAATATAGCAATTAGACCTCAGTTTTTCAACAATTCACACATATAATTTGGCTTGAAATAAAATGAAATGTTGTACACTTCTAAACCACATTCAACGAAGTTGATAGATATGCAAGCACGATATAAATTTTGTTAATTTGTAATCTTCATGTAATTAGTAAAACTAGTAAACATATTGAAAAGCAGAAAAAAAAAATTAGAGAACTACTATTGTCATTTCAAAAATCTAATTGTACACTCCTCGTAAGAGTATTTTTTTTGTTTCAGAATAAAAAAATTTAGAGTACATAATTAAATTTTTGGAATGCTAATAATAGCAATTCCCAAAAAATTACTTAAAAACAGTTGCTTAAGTTGGTTGAATGTCAAGATCAAGTGGGCTTGATTAGCCTTTGAAATCAATCTTTAGCATAATTTGGAATTAGTGGTATATGATTACATAGAAACTTAATCACTTTTTTTTTTTTCCGACGAAAAAACTTAATCACTTGACTTGTCTAGTAACTTTAGTTTCCCCCGCATTTGATTGAAATTGATAGATATGCATTTAATTAACAGGTTAAAAATGTCATTTAGTATTAAGATTTATTGATATTACTCTTCAATTATAAATGATAGGACTTAAGTTCGAATCTTTTGGATAATGAGTTCGAAACTAATTTATTCACCCACCCTTTAGTTTAAATATATCATTATATATATATATATATATATATATATATAAAAGTTAACAAAATCAATTTTAACAAAACCAATAAACTATATTTGAAATCGTACCGGAAGAGCTAGCATCACTACTACAATAAAGCGAATGCTATGGATCAATCATCAATGTCTATAAAGCGATATATTAGTTGTGAATCTAATAAAACCATATTTGAAATCGTATGCAACTCTCAGTTAATCTAATAAAACAATGTTTGAAATCGTATGCAATTATATTAGTTGTGAATCTGATAATGTCTCTGGAGATCATATGCAACTCTCAATATTAATCAATAATAACATGTTTGGAATCGTACAAAAGTGTTATAAATTACCTCATTACTGTCAAAAAGCAGGTGGAATTTATATCATATGGGTTTCGATTTACTGTAGTCCATGATATATTTAACTGTCACCCACTCGACAGGTTCATGTGATTATTGGGACTAATTGCCGAAAACCACATTATTTTAAGAACTAAAGCAATCTTAGTTGGGGTTAAATCAGTATGATAGTGCATGGATGAGTCTATCAGCATCTATAAAGGGGGGGTTGTCTCTCTCTCTCTCTATATATATTTATGCATAAAATATGAAAAACAGAAAATGGACAGATATATACATAGAGTAATAGTTGTATTTCTGGGCTTCTAGCTCACAAAAGTAATTCAAAGGAAAAGAAGAAAAAATCAGTTCACTTCAGATAAATTCTTAAAAGAAAACAAAAAGATAGTGATGGTAGGTTTTTCTTTGAGATAAGAACTTAAGTAGTACTGTTAGCACTCTACGAAGTTAGAACAACAGAAAATATTATAATTATAATATGAGGTTTAATTTGTTGGATCTACAAACAAATTAATCAATAACAAAAAGTAATAGTATGAATTAAGTATACAGGTTTGCTAATATAAGTTGATTCGTAGAAAGTTGGTAGCTGAGATATAAGTGGTGATGAATTAATGTGTTGAGGTCTTGTCAGCCATTGAGTAGTGTTTGTTTGAACCTTGGGCAGGGAGAGTTGTTGGAGAAAAATATGATACCCTATATGGCCCTCAAAGTGACATAATAATGGTCAACCAATGTATCATCGCTCATTCAGTCGAATATGAATTATGTTATTCCTGTAAAAATCTGTACTTGTACTTCGATGGTCAGTAGTATCTGTCATCTGTTTTAGTTTTGGACATCAATTATTTTGAGTGAAATGCCATCAAGATCATTTCTTCATCAGCTATACTCTCCTCTCTCTCTCTCTCGTCCCGCCCTGATAGAACAAATGAGATCGGTACAGAATTAGGGCAAAAAGTATCCGTATTTGATGACAGCTAGCAGGTGCTTTCAATACTATAATAAGTTTGACTATTGATGCATAATTTTGCATGAAAACTACTAGGCTTGAGTCAAGGACTAAAGGAGAAATGGAATAAGGTGGTGTGCCAGGATTAATGAACCGAAACTTTTTGGTATATGTAAGGAGGTGCTGAGGAGTGCATGAAGTGAAATGTATGAGTGAAGGACTCAAGATGCTGTTGTGCTGTGCTATGTTAGAGAATCAACCAGTGTGAAAATTGCAGATAATAAGAGAAACCCTATTTGATAAACATTTTGTTTTTAATTTTTGGTTTTCAATTTTGTACTAGTGATAGAGGGATTTCAAAAGTTAATGAGAGATGAAGGAAGGATTGTGGTAGAGATGTTGAAGAAATGCATAAGGAAAGACACAAAATAAAAACTAGTTCCTTTGATAACTATTTTAGTTTTCTGAAAATTGAAATACTTGTTTCGAAACTACTTCCTTTAATATTTTAAAGTAATGCAAGCAAGTTGTAGATATGCCCATCAACAGAAACATTATCTACATGTTGGCCTCACCACATAACACAGCCATTAAGTTGGTTCGTTTCAAGACCCCATTACTTAACTGGTTTTTGTTTTCTTTTAGGCCTTAAGCATTAAGGAATTGATGCGGTTGTATATGGATTGTGGAATCTTATGAGTGAGTGATGAAAAAAGATAAGGTAATGAAGTATTGATGGAAATTTGAGACGACCTAGGAAGGATATTAGAACTGGAAAAAGGAAGTGGAGGTTATGACTGAGACCTAGCCGACTGAGAAACAAAGGAGCTCTACATGTATCCTCTTTACTGAACATTACACGTAAAGGTATGAAATATTGGGTCCCAAATTGTAAAAGTATGGAATCCCTTATTGATAGCCACATGATGGGGACAGATGAAGATCGCCCATATATGCAAAAATATATGAGACAAATCTGTTGGATTCCTGTGAAAATGAATAAGCCGGTGACATCGTGTTGAGTCTCCGATTGAATACAATATATAGAACACTTCATTTAAATTCTTGGAAAAAAATTACTTTTAAACACTGTTCTAAAAATTCTCGCCTAGGTGCTAGGCAGCTAGCAACCGCTCCAATTAATTCCTAGGTGTTTGAAAATTAAAAAATGGCACCTATACCTGCTTAAGCGTCCGTCTTGCCTACCCAGACACCCACCTAGCTCTGCTTAAACCCGCCTAGACACCCGCTCTGTAAGATCCCACATCGCCCAGGGGAGTGATCCTTAAATGTATATTCCCATCTTTACCTAGCACGAGGCATTTTGGGAGCTCACTGGCTTCGGCTTCCATGGGAACTCCGAAGTTAAGCCAGTAGCGCGCGAGAGCATTCCTAGGATGGGTGACCCATCGAGAAGTTCTCGTGTGAGTTCCCAGAAACAAAACCGTGAAGGTGTGGTCGGGGCCCAAAGCGGACAATATCGTGCTACGGTGGTGGAGCGGGCCCGGAAAGTGGTCCCCCTCGGGCCGGGATGTGACAATTTGGTATCAGAGTCTAACCCTGGTCGTGGTGTGCCGACGAGGACGTCGGGCCTCTAAGGGGGGTGGATTGTAAGATCCCACATCACCCAGGGGAGTAATCCTTAAATGTATATTCTCATCTTTACCTAGCACGAGGCCTTTTGGGAGCTCACTAGCTTCGGGTTCCATGGGAACTCCAAAGTTAAGCCTAGTAGCGCGCGAGAGCATTGCCAAGATGGGTGACCCATCGGGAAGTTCTCATGTGAGTTCCCAGAAACAAAACCGTGAGGGTGTGGTCGGGGCCCAAAGCGGACAATATCGTGCTACGGTGGTGGAGCGGGCCCAGGAAGTGGTCCACCCCGAGCCAGGATGTGACAATTTGGTATCAGAGCCTAACCCTGGCCTTGGTGTGCCGACAAGGATGTCGAGCCCTTAAGGGGGGTGGATTGTGACGTCCCACATCGCCCAGGGGTGTGATCCTTATATGTATATTCTCATCCCTACTTAGAACGAGGCCTTTTGGGAGCTCACTGGCTTCGGGTTCCGTTGGAACTCTGAAGTTAAGCGAGTAGCCCTCGAGAGCACTCCCATGATAGGTGACCCACTGGGAAGTTCTCGTGTGAGTTCCCAGAAACAAAACCGTAAGGGTGTGCTGGGGGCCCAAAGCGAACAATATCATGCTACGGTGGAGT